CCGGTCTCGTGACGATCAGCTGTTCATGAGGGAATACACGTGGGAGTACCATGCCGGTGACCGGTCAAGTGGCCCCGTTCGAGGACAAAGGGGACAGCATGTGGCATTACCTACCCAGACAAGCGGTACGTTAGCTCATCCGTTCAGACTGTGTTGCTGTTGAATTGAATCAACTGAGCTAAGCGATACCGAAATTAGTACTTATTACGATCCACATGTCATAGTGTGGGTGTGTAGCATGCGACACTCACCTTTGATTTTGATGAACGCTTCGCGACAGAGGAATCGTCCTGTTTTGTTGGGCTGAGTACAGCCGCCATAATGTCATTTACACCTGGAAAAAATAAAGAAAATTGTGAAACAGATAGCTTCGTAGCACCTTGGTCTCTCCTGTAATGGTGGAGAGAGACAGTGCAAAAAATGTAACGAACTGATTGACGGAAACGTACCTTGTTCTGTATTGCTTTCGGGGGAGTGTAAACAGCGCAAATTGTTATAATGAATGATTACTTTGTCGCCAGGGACTTGTACTTTGACTTGACCAACACCGGGGAAGACAGACCTGAAATGGAAAAAGAGATCCAAGTTTATTGGAACGCTGCACATTGAAGAGGAACACATTGATATGTTTTGGCAACAAGAAAGAGACTTGTATTGTGCTCAGTAGTTTGCGGAGCCCAAAAGAGTGGATCACAAATGCTTGTCGTGACTCAAAAGAGCTATTCATTGAGTAGATAAACCACATTCTACAAGCAGGCATTAGGAAAACCATTACCAAAAAATGCACAAGGAATGCACTTCGAAGATAATCAATGAAGACTAATACCTCAACAAAAGACTGCCTACACTGTACGACTCCAAGTATGCTGATTCTCGATGGCATTAAATCATAGGAGCATGTCATAAAAAACACGACTAGGTTATTTCCATGATTTGTACATACTTATGATTTAATGGCCACAGTGCTGCGATGTGGGACTTGGAGGTTTGATGATTTTAATTTGTGGTTTAATTGCTCCAGGCATCAACATTATGCGTTCCCATCTAGGCGAAATCAGATCGTACTGATATTAAATAATAAGGCAGATGGCACATCGATCTAGCGTAACGGGCAACAGCCACCAAACCGACCTGGCAATCTACGTCGCCTAAACTACCTTAAACTTAGAAAAGGGGCAGCGTGAAAATGATCTCTCACTAATTAATACCTTCGAAGTTCATCATTATCATCTTACAGCAAAATACAGAGAAGCGAGTTTCACTGATCGCTGCCAAACTCGCAATGCCTATGCACTGGGGTTTGATGGACAAGTACCGCCAGGGTGTCCAACCACTAAGCAGGAGAACGATTAGGACTCTCAACCAGAGCCGTCAGTTCTAACAAGAACCTAACCGCAACCCAACCTGGAGGACCAGGAAAGTGAACTTCGTCTCTACCCTTCGACCTTCCAGGCATGATTAGATCTCCTGGCTTGACAAAAGCCATCCCGTGTAGCGCGTTGGGTCAGAGAGGTGCATAAGCCATCACACCACGTCAAGATGCGGTCTCGTCGAAGTTCCGCCCCATTAGGTCAAACGATGGAATATAGGGATACTAAACGACCACAAAGAGTAAAAAAAGTATTCTATAGAGAACTTACTTGATCAACGCATGGAAATCCACAGGAGAAACCGCGGTAGATAGTGTACCGAATCGGCGTTGGTGTGCACGCTGATAATCCATGTAGATTTGCACTCGAGACACACTGGAATGATTATGCATTACGTAGTTTTTTCGAAGCCATTCAAACATGTATTCGAGACGAGTAGCCGCCAGGGCAGGTTTATCCGTCACACAACGCGCCGGTGGTTTACGGGCTCTGGGTCGATGTAGCAGTGGTGTACGCGGTCGAAATGGCGACCGAGGAGGTAATTTTACAGAAGTCGCAGTGGTCAAGGCATCTGAAGTGACAACACTGGGTGTTTCGGTCTTCGGTATAACAATCTGAGCCTCTGTCGTTAAAGGTCCTGCTGGCGGTCCCGCTGGAACAACAGGAAAGCTAATTGGCATAGAGGAAGGCGCAATCGACATTATGGGAGTGGAGCTGGGTGACAGTGGTATAGAACTGTGCATAGTAGTGATCGACTCTGTAGTTGGCTTCGGGTCGACAGCAAGGGCACATACTGGCGCAATAGGGACGGAATTTGAAGTGACCACAATACCAACGGACGGTTGAGGTGTGGGCGGCAGAGGATTTGACGGAAGTGAAACTGCTACGAGGGGCTGTGCAGGAATGCGACCAGTGGAGATTGAAATCTGAACAGACGATTCAGGTTTGCTGATCGGACAGCTTACCTATAGAAAACAGGAATAAAAAGAGGGAATCATCAGAAAAGTTCCAATCAAGATTATTATCCAACAGGAAAGATGGATGCGAGGATCAGAAATAGACTAGTATAACAGATGAATTCAGTAAAAATGGTGAAACGTGACTGCAGATGGAACAAGACCAAAACCATCCAATTGCGAAATAGTCACAAAAAGGCGTAGAGAGATTTTTCCGTGCACCATGAAATAGAGCCCAAGAAGAATGGTGAATCACAGGCTATTGTAGGATAGATAGAGGCATTAACTTGAACGAAAGGACCTTGATAACAAAATGCACTGGTGGCGAATGAGTTCGTTTCTTTTTTCCGGCCTCCAAAAGCCTCAGCATGGTAGGGAGTGGGTATATTAGGTTGTGGTTGATCATGCTTCACTTGTACCTTACGAATTGCTCCAATGCGACCAAACAGCTTCTGTCAAAAAAGCCCTACAAACTGCCTTCTCGTGGCGGAGGTATTTTCCCATCGAAGTGAGAAAACGAAAAGCTAATATCCTGGTCGGTGAACCACTGGCGGTTCAACTGCGGGAGTTCGTTAAAAACCCTGATTTCAAACCAAAACAAGAAGAGGTGCATGAACCACACTCACCCACATCCCAGGTGGCACTGGCAAGATGGTGAACCTTGGAGTATCCACTTAAACGGGTATACACCACAATACAGAATTCCTTCAAGGAAATCAATACGAAGGAAAACGGATGTGAAAAAGAACAGTATATGGAGTGATTAACTGACATATAAACTCATCACTTTCCTCGGCGAGAACATTGCGAACCATGAAGCTACATGTTTTCCTTCTATTCATCATGTTCAATATCCAAAATTGTTTAAGGGTGGGGTGAAAAAAAGATATATTTGGGTTTATTTCGACTTGGGATTAAGGTAAACAATTTATATAGAAAAAAGTAATAGAAGAGGCTAAAACGGGACACGTTTGAAAGCGACGTACTATTAAGTTGGGCAGACTCTCCAGATTGGGCGGTCGCGGAGGGAGTGGATTGGGTGGATTTGCGTTCTGAGTGATCGGAACTTTCCCCGTGATCGTGGTGGTAGTCGGCAGAGTCAGCGGGACTGAGTAGCGCGGAAGCATACCGGGATTTATTTGGGTGTTTGAGACTACGAGAGGCGTATTTGGTCTATTGGGTGCCACCGTCGATGACGGAGTCAGCGCTGCTAGTGGTGGTGCCGGGGGAGGCGGAGGA